AGCCCTTGTTTGGCCCCCATTATTGTAGATTTTTAGGGGGTTGAAAATTTTTAAAATAGTGATTGATGGGAGATGTGTGGTTGAAAAGTTTTAGATTTGTGTGTATTATTATTTTATTTGATGAATGTATGGTTGACATGAAAAGAGAAAAAAATTTAATATAATGTAACGAGATATAATGGGGGGCAAACAAGGGCCTAGTAATTAGTATAAGAAGTTACATAAGAGAAGGGAATGGGAATTCAAATCTATCACATCTATGTTCCATCTAAAAAGTTTGATCTTGATGAATGATTTCCGCTATATTGATTCTTCTTACGAAAATAATTTTTTTTTCAAATTTTGGGTCCATTATTCATGCAAATAATTTGATCATAACATCTATATTTAATCATAATTTGTTTGCTTGAGTCTCAACGTGAAAAATAGATTTCAAAGGCTATGCGAATGAGAACGAGATAATTGATTCTCTTTTGCATGTCTATGTTTTCAGTCCATCAGACCTGACTCCCAACAACTCTGCTTGTCGTATTAGCTTTTGTTTATTGTACGTATAAACATGTGAAAATTTATGTATCCAAGTATGGTATGAAACAACTCTATTTTTTACTTTAGATTATCACCAACAATATAAATACTTGTGGACACACAATTTATATAGTCCAATACAATATTTGTTCAAAGCAAGTTTTATTTTTCAATAAAATCCGACAAACCCAAAATTCAACATTATTATTCACATTACATAACCCATTACATGTGCAAAGCACATGCATTCACTAGTATCAATGTAATGAACAAAGTTTTTAACACCTAATATTTTAGCCTCTGTTTGGTAAACTAGTTTATGAACAAGTTTATAAAAAATGAATTTCCCATATCATTTTTAAACCACACATTTCTCAAACTATTGTTCTACCACTTGTTTTTTTTGATAACCGTGGATGTCCGGACCAACTTGTGCTTACCTCAACTAATTCTACGAGGTTCTAAAGTTTACGGCCGAATATTCACCTCAGTGACCCTGAGGGGATTCGAATGGGTGACCACCCTCAAGGTTTTCTACCACATATTTTACCCCTAGAATATCATATTCTTTTTTTATAAGTAAAAAAAATTAACAAACAGAGGCTTAATTTAGTATTCTCACTTGGAAAACATAAAGAAATTTAAAAATCCATTGGATAAATATTCATGCTCCATATATATAGTGTTCATGTCATTATTTGTCAAGTATTTAAGTTAGAATACATGATAAAATTACCACCTAAAATTATAATTTTTTAATACTAACCAAAATTTTAACCATTATGGAACAATTTAAAAAAAACAAGACAATGGCGAAAGTCGTTGAGATAGAGACACGGTGAAAGATGAAACTCTGAAGAAGCAAAACTTTTACCCAAAAAAATCAAGACAATGCTTCAATTTGTAGAATCATGGGATTTTAATAAGGGGCGTTGGCTTTTGTCTATTGTTTGGGGTGGGGTATTAATAAGGGAGGCCACTGGTTGTGACTGTCTATTGTTTGGGGTGGGGTATTAATAAGGGAGGCCACTGGTTGTGACGGGGGCGGGGGGTTGAGGGGGAAGAATCTTCAGGGGAAATATAATTTGACCAAAGGCTTTTGAAATAAGAAAAAGACCAAAAAATGGGTACAATTGCTGGTACCCATAATGGGTACCGGAGCAAATCTGCATAAACATAACCGTTTAAATAGTGAACAAATTTTGACATTTTTAATTCAATTTATCATCACCTAATAAATCTGAGAGGGGAAAAAAAAAAGTTCGATGCGCACTTTGAGAAAATGTCCATTTTTCCACTTTAAAAAGAAACAAAAAGTTAAGTTACATGCAACCTTTCGAATTTTGTATTCAAGCCTTAGAGCATGTTTGCAAAACTTAAATTAAAATTCAAGCCAGTAAACATTACTTTTTATTCATATATTTGTAAGAGGCATAACTTGCTAATATCCACACATTCAATAGAATTAACAGCACATAACCAATTAGAAGTATTACCAAACAAGGACTTATGGTATCAAAGTCCCGTTAAAATCAAACGTTCAATTCGATTCATTAAAACTTGTGTTTAAATTTCAAAATTGATGTGCTCAAATGAAACACTATCTTATATGGACATATTCAGGTAAAATCCCATATCTATTAATTATAAAAATATTGAAAAACATACATAGACACCAACTACTCATTTTAATAACTTCGATATTTACATCTATCTAATACAACTATAAACGTAGATTTTAACATGTATCTAAATTAAAATTTAATTTTAATCACATATTTCACAACTTTTCAACCACGCTCCCATCAACTTTCATCAAAATCGAATAAAAATCTAATTTTTACCAACACTAAACAAAGGACTTAGGCCCTGATTGAGAGGAATTAAATTTTTCTACAGTAAATCAATTTTCATTTTCAACCACATATTTTTCAATAAAATAATATTTTCCATCACATCAATAATTTTTTCTTCTTTTTCAACCACACATTTCCCATCATATCACTATTCAAAAATCAATTCTTCCCCAAA